GCTGGGGGCAGGGATAAAACATGGAATGTCTCATTAATTGGTATTCTGTATGTACTGTTTAAGCCCGGTTGCCAGGTAAGGCTATATGGGCCAGTAAGTTTATGATACCTGTGTGGCTCACTAAAAGTAGATAGGGTTGACCCCCCTTTTTTGTGGGGATGTTTCCAAGGGCAAGGGTAGGGCTAGGGTTGAAAAGACTTAAATGCTAAAATTAGGTATGAGTTAAGACCATTGGGCTAAAAAATGTTTTAAATCTAAGTTGCTGGAAATTAAAAAAGAAAAACAAAAGAGTTATGGTGCTGCTGTATAAAATTGACACCTGGATCTCTGTGCTCAGGATGTAAATAAAAATTACAACACTTAGCTTAGCATCCGCCAAAAGGACATCTGCCCAGGAGGCTAAATCAAGCCTGCAGCCTTCCATGGAAGTTCTCTCTAGAGATGAGTCGAGGATCCTGCAGACGGCGCGCGCGGTGGTCGCGCGCGTTAACGAAATATCCGACTGTGACGTAACATTTACCTTCCCGCGAAATTAGAAAAAAAATTGAACAAAATACAGTTGTCACCGATTAGCATGGACCCAGAAGAGGTGAAAGTTGTCGGTAAGGAAGTAATTGCCTTTAAGACCTTGCCACAGTTAGCAAGGATTTTAACGAATTTCGTGTTTTCTTTCGTAGTTTATGGGGCAAGAAATTTACAGCCGAAAAAAGGCGACGGTGAGTGAGAAATGGTTTTATAGCTCTTAACATTTGCCAGGCGGCTCAAATAATGTGAACGTGTTTTGTTTTGTGTGTTGTTTTACAGGTTTGTGTAACGCATCAGTCATTTTTGGTATTGGCAAGCAAAAATATCGAACGGAACATGTTCGAGATAACGACCCAACATGGAACGAAGAAACTGTAATGTAAGTAAAAATTAAAACGTTTCACATTAAATTCGCAACACGGGTTTTTCTCTAGCTCTATGTATTGTACGAAAGGAGTTTTAAACTCGATTGGAAAGTATCTACAAGACGTGGTAGAGCTTTGAACAACCATGTCCGTTAAAAACTGTTTAAACTTGGTATAGTCCGACCCTTGTATCGAACGATCGATAGGAGTTTATGGTTGTCACTTGGGTAAATAAAAATTTACTTTCTCTATGTAAATCGAAATCAGGTGGCTTCCCCAATTTGCAAATCCCGTTTGAATATTTTTACACTTTGCTTTTGTGAATTACATATATGGAGACGATATGAACGACGGAGAACATCAGATAGAAAGGGTTTTTCCGTAACGTGCTGGTTCAAAGTCGTAATTAATAATGTGGGTTCTGTATTTTTTATTTATGCCTTTCTCTTCGTTTTAATAGGAAACATCTGCCTTTTATTGAGACAGTTGTTTCCANTCGGTGACGGGGGAAGACTCGTGCAATTCTATTCTGGTGGACATTGATTGGGTGAATAGACTCACTACCTGATAGATTTAACGTTTGAAGGCTGAAGGGGGCTAAATCAATGACGACGGCGACACCAAGGACAACGGCTGGAAAAAAAAAAAAAGATTTACTTGTTTGACCTTTGAATTTCACAATTATCTAGAACTGTTCAGTACGCCGAGCCGTGTAAACCCTACTCAAACTAAAGATGTTAACGCCAGCGATCAGCTCCAGAAGAAATACGAGAACTTAGCCGTTGTGTTTCACGTCAAAATACGCAAAACGTAGTCATTTCACGTTGCTGTTTTGCAGAGGACGGCAAAGAAATGTATAGAGATTTATAACGCACGTGCACCGCTACTGTTCTGCTCATTAAACCTTTAAGTTTGGTGATCTTTTTGTCGCCGTTGCCGTCGTGTTTTGCGTGGGCAGCCTCCGCACTACGCCAGAGAAATTTGAAAACGTAGCTTTATTTGTACAGTTAGGTCTACTGTCCACACTAATCCGTCACGAAAACGGTAACAACAGCTGAAGCGGCGCAGACGTTTCTGAACCAAACGGAGTCTGAANAGCTTTATTTGTACAGTTAGGTCTACTGTCCACACTAATCCGTCACGAAAACGGAGCTAACAGCTGAAGCGGCGCAGACTTTTCTGAACCAAACGGAGTCGGAAAGTTAAGTTTCTTGCTGTTGTCGTGCATTCACCTCCCTTGCGAATGAGCTAGAAAGCTCTCGTCGGGGAGCTTAAGAAAACTAACGACGGTAACGTCAACAGGAACGTCGCTAAACAAAAGGTTTAATGAGCAGTACAATAGTTGTGCACGTGCGTTATAGTTCTTGGTTAGTTCTTCTTATAGTTCTCTGCCGTTCTCCAACCCTAACGCTAACCCACAACAACGTGAAAAATTCCGCGATTTCTGGAAAACGTTAACCACGACGGCTAATTTTTAAAATTTTTATTTCAAATGTATCGTTGTGTCCCAGATTCAGTTCGTGATAGTTTTGACAGTAATAAGCAAAGTAAATAATTTCAGAGTACCGCGAGATTCGTAGGTAAAATATAAATTCATTTTTTAATCGACGTTGTCCTCGGCGTTGCTGTCGTGGTTACTTAAACTCCCTGTTGAAGCATTTAGATCTTGACTTTGGCACGAAGTCGATAATACGTTTCGAAGAAAAGAGCAAAAGACTTCTAGTACAAGTCAGCCTCTCAGAAATGTCTGTGCTTAGAATCCCCATCATTCTCTAACACACCCTGTTGATTCTCTTTCAGTAAAGTAACTAAAGCAGCTGCACTGGTTTTTACAGTCATGGATAGAGAAGACGTCCTTGGTTCAGTCAGTTTACCACTTGCCCAAATCCCTTCCGTAGCTCACCGTCGTCGTTGGATGCCATTAACTGCAAAAAATGCCCAAGCTATGGGCGACCTTTGTATCGACTGTTGGGTGCTTTCGTTTAAGAAGAGTTCCTCAACAGGAGAAGGCGGCAAGTGGAAACCTTTTGGACTGAGGGCCGGGACTGGAACAAAAGATCGAATGAAGCGAAGAACTTCAATTGAAAATGCTTCTATTTCTAAAAGAGGATCAAGGTCTATAGAGAATTTATACACCCATCCTGAGCTGAAAGCTGACGGCGAATTAGAAAAATCAGGTTCAGAATTGTCTCCGGTTACTTCGTCGTCCAGTAGAACGTCTCTGGCACCTCCGACTCTTTTCAAGCCTCGTCTGGCGCCCACCCTCGGTCAGGTACTTTCCTCAAGCCGCGCGCCAGAGATAACGGGGCTATCTCCAAAATCCGGTCCTTCGTCCGGTGGGACACGCATCACCGTGCGAGGCTGTAACCTCGGCAAGTCACAAGAGGACATCGCGTCAATAAATATCTGTGGCTGTGATTTGCTTTCTACTCTCGAATACCACAGTCCAGCAAAGCTTGTCGTTGTTACAGAAGCTTGGAGTGGGTCTGGACCAGTTGTACTAGAGACCAAATCTGGAGGGCGTGGTATATCAACACTTAATTTTACATTTCAAGATAAAGCGGCAGGTAAATAGCTAGTCACGTGGACACACTGTCATTCTCATCTCCAGTGCTGCTCGTTTTGAAAAGAAACGGAGGTACTGGAGACGAGAATGGCTTCTCATGCGATGGGGGCATACGCAATGGGTCTGAAGGGAAGGTACTTAATTTAGGAAATACATGATGTACTAATAATTTCTGGAATAAACCCTGAATCTGCAAAGTTGTCTTTTCATAAACGCCCTAGCCTTTAATCACTAGCTATCACTTCTGCCTGAGTTCGTTTGAACCTTCAACCATTATGTAATTACCTCTTTCTTGTCAGTTAATTGGCACACATGAGCACACTATATAATCACTACTAAGAGAAATGAGCATTTCTTGTCACTACACAATCTTTAGAAGGGAATGTTGGACAAATCTGTGTAACAACTATTGGAAAGAAGATTGGTTTCCCGTACTCAGTTGACACTGCATACAAAATTCTGCAAGACTTAATTAATTTTCCACAAAGCTTATTGACTACGTAGAGTCAAAATCTGAAGCATTATTTTTTGGTTCAGAGTTAACTTTATAGGCCTTAATGACCCAGATATGAGCTTTTTGAAAATGATAAGTTCAACAAAGGCAATTAGATACCTAAACTTGTTATCTAAATAACATTACTTTGTAACTTCTGTCAATTTTTACGACAGCATCAGCTGGGTCAAGCGCAGATAAGAAAAGCAAAGCAACAAAGGCTGAACTGTTGACAGAAATAACAAAACTTCGAGAGGAAATTAATGGTAAGGTTTTGTACATTCTTCTTTTTGGTGAATTAAGTTATTACCAGATATTCACGAGTTTGCATTGCTAGAAAATTTAGTAGCCTAATAATTCAACTCTAAGCTAGGCATTTTATTAGACTGCAATATTGCTCATAGTTTACTGATTATGCATTAATTTTAGCGAATAGACTAACAGTATTTCATTTTATACAATTTCTTTTTTAATAGATTAACAATTTTAGTAGACTAATATTATTATATTTTATAATTTGTGGGTGTGTTTAACAGAACTAAATCCTGATAATTCCTCCTTAATAATTAATTCCTCTTATTTCCTCCTTAAATGAATGATATCTGAATTCCTGTAAGGATCAATCAGAAGTAAAGAGAACATCAGAAATGTGGTTTCTTAGTCAGGTCAAAGAATGATTCCCCAGACATAACATTGTTGAACTGGTGCTGTCTGACAGTAGCAATAGAAACTTAAGCTGTTGCTCCTGCCACAGTCAAAAGTATCTTGTCATGCCCAAACAGACAACTACATGTGCTTTGACCAAATGATAATAATTAACAATTATTCCACAAGCGTGTGTTGGATATGAGAGGATAGATAGCCAGCAAGGTGCGTAGCACCGAGTCAGCTATAATCATAACATATCCAACAAGCGCAAGTGGAATAATTGTTTTATTGAAAATACCCATCAAAATATAGAAAAGTAAAATAAAATAAAAATGCCCAAAAAATGAATGCGCACGCTTACGATATTTGTAGAGCATGGTATAATGGCTCATATACCACGATGGCTAAGCCGATGAAAACTCTTGAATTGCATTATCTAATGATCCAGTTTTTAATAATCACAGTCAGACTGCTCTCTCTTTTTCTAGATCTAACTGGCGAGAATCGTTCCATGAAGAATTACATAGATAGACTGATGATAGTTTTAATGGACAAATTCCCAGAAGTACTGGAAAATTGTGGTTCCTCAGCCTAATAATTATGCCTATAATTATCTATTTTCTCCAAATCCCTGGAGAAAATTGATATTTAATTATTTTTCAAATTGACCAGTTGTTGCATGGAAACCAAGTATAAACAGCTCTGAATAAAGTTATTTTTTATTGAGTATGACTAAATTAATGTTACCTAGGGAGTTCAGATATCTGTTTCCACTGGAAAAATATGTGATTAATTTCATTATCTCAGCCCTTATGTGTATCTGAATAAATATTTCCATAATAAAAATTAATATTCATCTGTAATGTTATATAGCCATGGATTGGACTTACTAGCAGTGTGTTACCCAATTACTGTTCAAGTAGCAAATTAAAAAAGTAAAATTGATCTTTGCCAAAACTACAGCACTGTATGTTGATAACTGCATGTACCTTGGAATACAAATTATTTTGTTTTAAAAACATGATCTACTACGATAACCTTAGTTTAAAAATTAAACATATATATCAGGGTTCTCATTAACTTAGGGAGTAGAAGGTTTGTTTCATGAAGCAGACTGCTAACACCAATTTTGTGTTTTAAAGGGGACAAGCTGCTAGGGAGGTCTATGGTATGTTCCCCCAGACAATTTTGAAATTGAGGGGCTCTGAAATGCTATTTTACATATTCTCTTGGGGTCGGGGATATAATTTTGTATAAGGCCAAAATGCCAAGAAATAAACCAAATATTATACACACCACTCTTCGTCCCATTTTGCCAAGCTTGTCCTGACTAACAGCAATTACTTCTCTATAATGAATCAAGCATACAAAAATATGGTTCATCTGTTTTTTGTCCTAAAAAGATGCATATAATGTTCAAACTTTGATGTTTTTAATTAATAGCCTCTGATCTGATGCCAACAGAACATTACTTTATACTAATGGCAATTTGTTAACTAAAGTTATTTTGTAAGAAATCATCAACTCAAGTGACAAAATTTGCACTTTCTCAATTTAGTGAACAAAGTAAACTTTAAGATAACAACAAAGATTATACATGCATGAGGTCATACATCTAATAATTTAAACATCATCATAAGATGTTCAAAAGTATGCAAACTGTACTTTATTTTGGAATATAGAATAATATTGTGCTTTGTCAAAACTTGCTTTCCTTTTAAACTACATGCACTGCCTTGTAAATACCACTTACTGCCGCATTGTGTTTTTCCAGGAAATATCCATACCCCTCCCA